GACTTTAGTCTTTGCTCTTTTATAACTTTTCCAAATTTTCTATAATAAATATGTAGCACTTCTTGACTGAAGTTAAAAAGTTATTTTAAAAATATGTCCCTAGGCCAAAACCGGTTTGGCTCAGTGGATAGAGTGTCGGCTTGCGGACTGAAAGGTCCCAGCTTCGATTCCGGTCAAGGGCATGTACCTGGGTTGCGGGCACATCCCCAGTAGGAGATGTGCAGGAGGCGGCTGATCGATGTTTCTCTCTCATTGACGTTTCTAACTCTCTATCTCTCTCCCTTCCTCTCTGTAAAAAAAAATCAATAAAATATATTTTAAAAAAATATGTCCCTAGATTTTTCCTTGATCACAGAACATCTTGAACATATTCCCCAAACCAGGGAATGATTCACGGAATCTGACTGCGTCATTACAGGATGGTCCAGATTAATTGTGCCTTAACAATGGCCCCTTTCCCTTTTGGACTCACCTGATGATGTGGGCTGCTGGCATCAGTTTGTTGACCCTGAGACATCCTTTGACATATTCGTTTGGAGGCCTTCATGGCAGCTGTTTCCACTGGACCAATTGGGTATTGGATGGAGAGCCTGTTATAAAGGAGGGTTTTATGAGAGGTTGTAATAATCTTTAATTACCAGATATGACATTGAGGAGTCTTAGAAAATGTTAAATCATATATTAAATTTAGTATCCAAACAATAGCAATAAAACAACCCCACATTTGTTCTCTGTGCTCTTTCCAACTACTCAGTTGATAGTCAATCACCTAATAATAGGAACGGAAATTCCTCCACTGCCCTCCCCGCCCCACACACACACTTGACTATCTAGAAATAAGAATGCAGAGACATTCAGGGATGACTACAGGAAATCCCTGGGTCATCTCGTTCAGGTCAGATACTAGGGGTTCTAAGCGCAGCTGTTGGGTTTATGATGTCATATCTGAAAGAGCATAGAATAGGGCAGACTAGTTTAAGGTCAGGCAAGTTCCGTTTTATATAACTTCCTTTCACTCCTTTATTCAGAAACTATTTAAAGCCTCTTACCATCTTGAGATATTGCAGATGAAAAAAAAAAAAGATTTTTAAAGAAAGCAGAGAACTCCCTGTTCACGGAGACTTCCCATCTAATAACAAACAAATAGACAATCATTTTTTGGCATAATGTGATTCTTTCAACAGAATTCAAGGAGAGTCCGGAAAAGAAGCAATTATTCTGTAGCACATTTAATTGTTTGCTTAAAGGGGTCGGCAATTTGGGGTAGCGAAAAGCAGGATAGCCTGTCACTTCTTTGTCATGCACCTTGTATATATTTTTATGTTGAGTAGATACCACTCTCCTAAAGTCAGTTCCTCCACATGTGCTCTAGCCCCCATTCCTTCTAAACTGCTGAGTGCCATCGCTCCAACAATTCTCCCCTCTTATATCAAATCACCAACTTTTCTCTCTACAAATTCACTCCCTCAGTACACTAACATGCTTTATTTTTTCCATTATAACAAAACATTCTCTTGAGTCATTCTACCATCTAAGACAATCTCTTTGCTCCCTGTATGTACAACATTCTGAAAAAAATTATTATGTAGTATCTTCAATTCTTCATCTTCCATTCTCTCTTAAATTGCCTCTAGTTTGATTTTTCAACTACCAGTGTCCCACAATGTATTTATGAGGTCATCAATGATTTCCTTATTTCTAAATCCAAAGGTCAATTCTTACTTGACCTCGCAGCAGCATTTGACACGGTAGACCATGCCCTCCTCCTTGGAACACTTCCTTACCTGTCTTTCAGGAGTCCTCATTTTCTTGGTTTTCCTCCTACCTCATTCATTACTCTTTTTCAGTAGCTCTTGCTGTCTTTTCTTCTCATCAACTTCGTAATGTGAAATATCACAGTGCTCTGTCCTCAACTCTCCTCTCTTCTTCATCTACACACTTCCTTTGGTGATCTAATTTGATCTCATGGCTTTAAAAACCATATATGTTAACAACTTCCAAATTTGTATCTCCAATAGACTTTCTCCCAAATTCCAGACATGAATAGCCACTGCATACTCAACATCTCCAGTGGATGTCTAAGAGATATCTCAATCTAAACATCCCCCCTCACTTTACTCTCCTCTCCACTATAGTCTCCCCCATTTCAGATGACAGCAACTTTATATTTCTACATACTATACCATCACCCTAACTATATTATTTAGTATAGATACAAGAACTGATCCATGGATCTGAGGACGAGAATATAAATTGTACTAATTGATCCAACTATATGAAGAAACCTGATATTATTTTAATTAAGTGGGGGAAAAGACAGCATAACTGACTATGTATCTTAAAGAAAGCAAAGTTAGACCCTTGCTAAAATAAATTTCAAATGCATTGAAAATAGAAACATTTGAGGAAAATTTAGAAAAACATTCACATAACCTTGCTCCTACTTTTGCCCCCTTTAATCTATTCCCAATATCTCTTCCTTCATTCCATTCAGCTACACTGGCCCCCTCACTGATTTTTGCATCTGCTAGGCTCACTCCTGTTTTGAGCTGCTGTCTCCTCAACTTGCAGTATGCTTTTCTCCCTCCCTCAGCTCCTTTAAGTCTTTGTTGAAATATCACCTCTCACTCAAGCCCACTATGCCCACCTTATTGATTGATCGATCAATTGATTGATTTTAGAGGAAGAGACAAAGAGATAGATAGATAGATAGATAGATAGATAGATAGATAGATAGATAATAGGGAATTGAGAGTTCCAGAGTGGGGACAGAGCCTCAAATGTTAAGTGGGTGTCAGGAAAGGCCTTAAGGATGAGATGACATTTGAGCAAAGAGCTTTCATGGGTCTTTAGGAGCTGAGGAGTCAAGCCATTCAGGGAGGTGGTCTAGGGGTATCAATTCTTTAAAGTAAAGGTTTCAGTTTTAATAGGAGGGGATCTGGCTTAGATTTATGGGGAAGGGGGAGGAAGCAGGGCTGGAGCAGCAAGAATGTAGGTGGGGATTTGGGGCATGCAGGTGAAATAGGTCATCAGGATGGATCAAATATGCAGCACTTTTCTAAGTCATGTTACAATTTTTAGTTTTTAGCTTAAAACAATGGAAAGATAATGGAGGGATTTAAGGCATCGGACTTTGGGGGAGATGAACATGTAAGAAATGTAATCATATTTGTGTTTTTAAAAGATGAGTCAGACTTCAGTGGTCAAAAGAAATGCAAATAAGAATATGGAACTTTGTGCTCTACGACAATGTAGGAATTTAAATGAGATATCAAGTATCTGATACATCTGGATGGCTAACTGACTTATTGTACTGATCCTCTGCTAGGGAGGGTGAAATAAATGGATTGAAGCCGAAAGATACATTAGAACCTGAAATCTTTGTTTTTACTTTAAACTAAAATTCTTTGTACTCTATTAAAGATATACACCCACATGATACACAAATTTTATAAGAATACTAGGGGCCCTGTGCACGAAATTCATGCACTGGGTGTGTGTGTGGGGGGGTGTCCCTCAGCCCAGCCTGCCCCCTCTCACATACAGGGAGCCCTCAGGCATTGACCCCCATCACCCTCCAATCGCAGGATCGGCCCCTTGCCCAGAGGCGTCTGACAGAGGCGTCAGGCCTGGGCAGGGGACCCTCATTTCCCCCCACCACTGGTTCTGCCCCCAGCCCAGGCCTGATGCCTCTGGCCCAGGCATCAGGCCTAGGCAGGGGACCCCCTGACCCCTCCGATTGCTGGCTCTGCCCCTTGCCCAGGCCTGATGCCTCGGCCAGAGGCGTAGACCCCCATCACCCTCCGATCGCCTGATCGGCCCCTTGCCCAGGCCTGACGCCTCCGCCAGAGGTGTCAGGC